CCGTCGCACAAATGTTACCGCAACAGCGTTTTGGTTCAGCTCAGCGGCTGTCCTTCCTCCAAGGACCTGGCAGTCTAACCCGAAGGGGGGAGCTTGCGCAGGGCGGTGCTGGCAGGACCTTGCAGGAGGGCTGCCTGGGGAGGGAGCCTTGGGCCGGGGTGTTCATCAGGTAGGGAGGTGATGCGCAGGCATCCAGGTGGATGTGTGCGGAGGAGGGGAGCGCTGTGGGGAGGCCACGGGGAGGGTCCTGTGGGGTGGGGTGGGCTGACGGAGTGAGTGAGGGTGGGCCCGCAGGGTGGTGTCTGAGCCACTCGGCTCTCCCGCATCATCGCAGGCGGCGCCCCCTGCAGCAGAGGTGGGCGTTTGTGCGAAGTCTGAGGATAACTGAGGTCCGGTAGGGACCCTTCGGGCGGATGGCTCTGAGAGTCTGAGACAAGCCAGAGCCGTGCAGACGTCCTGTTTTGTCAGCCCCAGGATGGGGGGCTGGGCTGTGTGACCCCTGGGTGTCCGGTGAGGTCTAGAGCTCAGAGGTCCCCGTGGCCTGGGTCCCACCCTTCCTTCCCAATCCGCACAGGTATGGGGATGGCATTCCTTGTTCTTCTTAGCTGGCGGGGCACCCAAGGTGATCAGAGGAGATCGTGGACGTGAACACACTGACCACTACCCATGCCAAGGTCGCTGGATGAGACGTGCGGAGACGGGTCCTGAAAGGAGACAGGTCCTCTGTGACAGCGACCGGCCACTTCCCCCTCGAGGCCTCCCATTTCTCATCTGCGTGATGGGGATGGGGGAGGGACCCAAAGGGCCCCCCGAATCGCTGCGCTTGACATGTGGGGTGTCAGGGCCCGTGTAAGCTGGTGCTCACAGAGGGCCGAAGAGAGAAGGCGCCAGGGCTCAGCCCGCTGCCGCCCTCCTGTGACCTGCCGTGTGCTGGGTGGACGGCTGGGCAGCCGATGCAATGCTCCTGAAGCAGCTTAGTGGACATGGAGCTCTTCACGAGAGGGTGGGGCCTTCAGACAGGCTGGGGGCTGCCGGGGCACTCTGGGGGGCTGCTCTGGCCCCCGCCAGGCAGACACCCCAGCCTCATGTGCTTGAGCTCACTCCCTTTGGCACCTGTGGGCCCTCACCCCCAGGACCAGAGCGTTGGGACCTGACTGCCCAGAGTGCCTCCCCAGGCCCTGGGTGCTACACCTGGCCCTGGACACCCGGCCCTGGACACCTGGCTCCAGATGCCTGGCCCTGGACACCCGGCCCTGGACACCTGGCTCCAGATGCCTGGCCCTGGACACCTGGCCCTGGACACCCGGCCCTGGACACCTGGCTCCAGATGCCTGGCCCTGGACACCCGGCCCTGGACACCCGGCCCTGGACACCTGGCTCCAGATGCCTGGCCCTGGACACCCAGCCCTGGACACCTGGCTCCAGATGCCTGGTCCTGGACACCCGGCCCTGGCACCTTGGCCCTTGTCGGCCTGCTCATCCCAGGTTCTGCTGCTGCCCTTCCCTCCAGGGCAGACTTTTTAAAAAGACATTGAAGCCTGTCTTTGCTATATGTAATCTCTTCTTCTATATAATTCACTGTTATTAGTTACTCTAATATTAGCAATAATCACTTTATTGAGTATCCATAATGTTGCTGAAAAATACAAATTAATGTCAATCTGCAAAAAAAAAATCACTGCAAAATAGCTGTGATGATGCCGGCAGGGCAAGCGTGCATCTAACGTAGCCCGGCGCATCCTCACAATGGTCAGAGCGTGGCCCATGCGTGGCTGTGCACACTTCCGTGTTCATTTGCCTGCGTGCATTTCAGCAGCGGGCAGGTAGGACAGACGAAACCTCCCCCAGCTGTGGCCCCTGCTGGACTCCGGGCTGAGTGCCAGTGGCCTGCAGCCTTGGCGGGAAGGAGTGGCTCTGTGCCGAGTGCCGCGGGGGCCCCGGGCTGCCTGCCTCTGGGGCTTCGGGGCCTCTGCCCGAGTTGACACCATTAGCTTTGACCAGGCTGTGGGACCTCTCCTGCCGTCACGCCCGCACCTTAGGGTGCTGCCTGCGAGGGGCAAAGGCCCCAAGGAAAACAGGACCCCAGCACAGTGCGGGCGCTTCTGTTGGCCTTGCCTTCCCATGTGGAATAAGCAAACACATCAGTGCCCCATGTGGGTTTCCACACGGACAGAAAGAAAGCACTTTTAAAGGTCAGGGGGCCGGGCTGCTGGGGCTGCCTTTCCTGGGATGGAGGAGAGTCAGAGACCCCTCGAGTGCTGGTGTTGCTTTGGCCCCTGCCAGGCAGATGGCCCCCCGGGAAGCATGCAGCCTGCCTGGGTTAGGCATTGCTGCTGGCCTGCCGTGTCCACAACACTGGTTTTATATGGTCTATCATAACAGCATGCACTTGTTTAAGTACTTATTATATGCCAGACTCCACAGCAATTCCCGGCTGGGGAAACTGAGGTACCTGATGTTAAGCCTTGCCTGAGGTTGTTCAGGTGCCAATGGGCCGATTCACGTCCCTTAGTCTGGGCAGACTCGGTCAGGCTGTCCCGTGAGTCAAAGTCATCACTTACGGGTGTTCTTGCCTTCTCTGTGCATTCCTCTGTCCTGGCATTTGTCCCTGTGGACCACAGTGGTGGCCTGGCTCTCTCCTGTCTGATCTGTGTGACCTGATGGCCCCAGAACGTGGCTCCGGGGGCCTGGCTGTCCCTGGGGCTTCGGGCAGGCCGAGGGCTGGGTCCCGGCGAGCTGACACAGTGAGCGGCTGCGGGAGGTGCTCCGCGTTTGCTCCAGCAAACGGCCCCCATTCCGGGGGGAGCACCGAGGCTCCGGGGTGCCCTGTGGTCTGTGCACAGCCCCGTGCAGAGGTGAGCCCCGCGCAGGGCCCCAGTGCCACCGAGATGGTCCTTCAGCAGCCAGAAGCAGGCTCTCAGGTGCCCCTTCCTTCTCTGATGAAGAAAACTGGCTTTCGTCTCTAAGGAGATCGTTTTCCTCCACTACGAAGCAGATTCTCCCGCAGTCATCAGGAAGGAAACCGGGGCGACTTGCCTCTCGCCTCGTTAGACTGGCCGCCTGGAGCTGAGGGCCCCACGTGGGGGGCTGGGGAGGGAGGAGGCAGCCGCAGGTCATCCTGAGAAGGTTCCTGCTGCATCTCTCAGAGCCGGGGAAGGCGGTGCCTTGGGACAGCGGTGGGGGGCCAGGGGGAGCTTGCCCGCAGCTGCGGGGGGGCCCCCTCCAGACCCGCCCCCTCCTGCTCTGCTGCTTGGCAGACCCTCTCCCCAACCTTCCGCTCACCCTGCGCGATTCTCTGATTTGCAGTCTTTGGCGCACACTAAATCTGCGCTGCCTTTCCGTAGAGTGAAGGCTGGAGCGTAGGAAGATCAAGACGGCTTTGCTTCCGTTTCATCTTTCAAAGGCCATACATACACTTGGAAGATTGATGTTTGAAAAGAAAAATTACATTTTAAAGGGAAACGCGTGTGTGAGAGGGTCGGACGCCCAGCAGTAGCTGCTGGAGGATTTGGGATCGTGGTGTTTCTCCAAAATAGTCAGTGGTCCTTGATATTTTTAACAAATTTCCTCAGAGGCAATGAAAATGTTCTCCAGCATTTGAGAAAATGTAAACAGCTAAGTAAACATTTTAGAAATATTGCAGTGAAAAGTGCAAATAATTATTCAGCATTAACTGATGCGGAGTCCAGCCGGCTGTGGACCTCAGAAATAAAGGAGGGAAGCCCAACGCTTTGGGTCTGGAACCCATGAGTCTCTGCCAACAGTGCCGAAGGCGGAAATAACGATGCTAACTGCTGCCTCTGATGGGTGAGGGCTGGTTTGCCCAGAAATGGCCAAAGTCGCTCACCTACCTGCTCACCTTCACTTCACAGCGACTCCCCGCGACCGGACGTGTGCCCCACATGTGTAGAGGGCAGGAGTCCTCAGGAGCCTGCCTGTCGTAGGGACTAAGGGAGACTGATTCAGGCTCAGCTCTGACTTGGGCTGGGCAGTAAAGCCTTGCGCCTGGAGGTGGCTTTATTTGCTGGCCCCTCCATCTGCCTTTTCCTGGAAATGGCTTGAACTTGAAGTTTAGAGAGGCGGTCAGACTCAGACTGGCTCCTGTGAGCTAGTGGGTTCAGGACACGTCTCTGTGGCTGAGCCATTAAGGAAGCGGGTTTTCAGCACACTTTGTGAATCAGGCCTCTCCGGACTCATCAGCTTGAAATTCCCTCTGGCAGGATTTATAGAGGTCAGGGCGTCTTCAGAAGTGGTTTCCTGGGTGCACCCTTCGTCCGGCTGGGAGGCAGGGAAGGCACAGCCCGGCCTCCTGCGGTCAGGGAGGTGGGGCTCTGAGCCACAGCCCCAGTGGTCTGGTCCTGAGTTGTCTGGGGCGGGGGGGGGGGGGCGGCAGAAAGAAAATGGGCTTTGTAGCACTTCAGCCGTGATAAAAAGTACTTTCAGTTGTTAATTGTCATTAGTGGTATGTCCCATTTGTTGAGTATTTATTGCATGTTGGGAACTGTGCCAAGGGCTCTGTGTGGCAAGTTCATGGTCACGCCGTTGGGTTAGAGCCATATGCTGCTTCCAGTCTCCACGTTATATACAGACAAGGGTGCTGGGAAGGCGAGAAGTGAGTGACCAGCCCAGGGCCGCCCAGGTGGACAGTGCCCTGCTTGCCCTTGGCCATGAAGCAGGTGCTTGTGGCTGGGAGGCCACAGCTGGGAGACCGAGGGGGAAGGGCTGCCACCGAACCCCACCTTAGAACCAGGATATCTGGGTCCCAGTCCTTCCCCCACAGGCATGAGCCCAGTGACACTGAGCAAGTCACTTCATCTCCCTGCGCCTTTCTCTATGAAAGGAACGATGAGAGGACATCCAGGGACAGACACGTCATGGCTCCATTCATCACACACTCCCGTCCACCTGCTTTGAGCTGTGTGGTTTCCTGTTCTAGAAGCGCGGGCTGTCTGTGCTGGGCAGATGTGAACTCAAGCTGCCGTTTCTCTCTTGTTTTCCAGGTAATGAGCCAAAAAGATCATGTCTGAAGTACAAGGAACGGTTGAGTTTTCTGTAGAGCTCCATAAGTTTTACAACGTGGATCTCTTTCAGAGAGGGTGAGTCTGCTCCTCTGTTTGTATTTCGTGGATGTGCGCATGTGTTTTCCCTCCTGGCTGGAGGTGGGGCGGGGCTGAGGGGGTGAAGGGAGGGCAGGTTCCAGGAACTTTGGGATTAATGAAAACAGGACTTCCATTATTTTTCCTGCCAAGTGGAAAATCCAAACCTCTAGTGCATTTAAAAATAAACCATATAAGAGAGACTAGAAAATGTTGATTTCTCTCCTCCCCCTGCACTTCTTTCTGCCTTTTCTCTCCATAGTCGGTCTTCCCACTGAAGCTGTCAGTCCGCGTTAGGGGCAAGTGAATTCATTGGAAGTGAAGCTTGTTTAGTTCCGATAACCTGCTCTCTCAGAAACTGAGACTTTACAGCATCCTCTTTAAATACATAATGAAGGACAGTGGCGTCCAGTTTGTGAGGGTGTACTCTGAATTTGGTTGGTCCACACAGGATCCCAGTGGGTTCCCATGATAGACTTACCTCTCGGTCATCGAAAGTAGAAACAATGGCACGAATGGTTATAGACAGCACCTAAATGCAGCCCAGGACTCTGTCCTCATGTGACCGCCACCCTTCCCCCAGTTACAGACCAGGGACCCGCGTGCCTAGACACCGTGTGAAGTGTGCACAGTAAGGGAGCAGAACCGTAGCCACCTGTTCGTTTGTTTTTGCTGCGAAACAAATGACTCTAACCTTAGTGACTCGACGCCATGACTTTGGATTTGGCACCTGATGTGCGTAGACGATCTGAGCTGGGTTCAGCCTTGAGGTTCCTTCTGCAGAGCTGGACCAGGGGCTCAGCTGATCTCCACTGGGTGCGATTGGGGTCTGGGGCCGCCAGCCGGGAGGCCGGGGCTCTGTCCTCTGTGGGCTCTCAGTCTCCAGCCCGGCTTGCTGGTCTGCAGCTGGGCCCTGAGAGTGAGGTGGGAATGCATGCAGTGTCCTGTGGTCTGGCCTCAGGACCAGCGTCATGCTGTTTTCATGGCCTTATGTGGACCAAAGCCAGGACAAGACCATGCTGGACTCCGGGTCGGGAAGAGGACACCATCTCTTGATGCAAGAGGAAGAATCTGTGTTCGTTTATCTGCCACTTTGAGTTTCAAAGGGACCGTTCTGACATGAAAGCGTCAAGTGCCTCTTACGTGTCATGGTACAAAGACAGACTGCGGTGGTGCTGAGCCCTTGTGGCAGGTGACCTGCGTTACTAGGAAATGGTCTGGGGCCAGCTGCGTGTTCCAGGGGAAGGGGCGATGTGAGGGGTTCCGGGCAGGGCTCTGGAGATGGACTCTGATCTGGCAAAGCTCTGTGTCTCTGGACACCCGTTGCCCTTGGTTTGGCCCCCCTCCCTCAGCCAGAACTTGGGTGGAGTGATGAGAAGGGCCTGGACCTGGGGCTGGACCCCCTCAGTCCTGGCTTGGTTCCTGCTTCTGGAGTCCCTTGGTCATCTCCCTTCACTCTGCTCTCAAGGTTCCACACTTATTTTAGAAAAAGGAAGCATTTTGATAATGTCATGGGTCCGTCATAGCATTAGACACTTTTCTGTTCATTATCTCCTGATGCCTTGTCACCAGCCATAGGAGCAAGTGGTATCACCTGTATCATGCCAGGCAGGTGACCTGGGGTTGGGGCAGCGAATGGTAGGTACACGGCTCTGACAGAGCAGACGTGGGCTCTGGGCCTGGGCTGCCTCGCCCAAGACCCTGTATCACTCTTGTTCCGCGGGGCTGGGCTCTGAAGTGGGCTGTGCCCTCCCTAGAGGTGCACGGCGTGTCCATCTACAATTGTCTTAACCAGAACTCGGCGGAAAGTCAAGCTTCCGTAACAGTCAGACTCCCACCTCGTGGGCCCTGGCAGCCTTGTTGAGTCCACACGGCTCAAGGTCATGGAGTTCCACTCTGTCACTCACACATCACAATAGAAGCAGGTGCCCCACAGCTTCTAAGGGAGGTCCACTAAGTGGGCTGCGCCCCCTCCCAGTGCAGTGTATTGCAGGTAGTGGCCAGCCAGTCACGGACATCTGTCCATTGTTTTCTTGTTTTAAACTGCATCAACCCTCATGGAGTAGCAAATGGCTTAGGAACAAACCCTGTAAGAAAAGCATCATGAATCGAAGGTCATGTTAGTAATGAAAGTATGGCGAACCCAGGAAATGGCAGAGCCCCACCCACGTTCCCCTTGTCCAAGCCTATTGATGACTCCCGTAGAGATGGAACAACAAGTTCGTCAGATCAAAAAATAAGTAGACTGAGCCATTTGGACTTATTAAAAAGTTGATGGGTGGATTTGTAACCATAATTATTCGTAACACAGCTCAGCCTACCTGTATATGGGGGCTTCAGGTATTGACTATGACTTGTATGGAATCCAGACGTTCCAGAGTGATACCCAAAACACGAGCAGACCCCTGTGTGGTCAGGAAAGGAGGTTGAGAGAAACGCATGGAAATCGTGACTTACCCAGCATGTTATGCTGATCTTTCTAGATCCCTGTGGTTTGGGAGGTATCGTATTTGGTCATGCTCACCACTGAACTCTAATAGTGAATTAGGCTAAATTAAAGCCAGAACTTTGAATCACTCATATGTGTATATATATGAACAAAAAGGGTATGTGTTGCATTAAACATAAAATAATAATTTTTTAAAGCATAGATTATTGCATTTCTTAGCTTTTAAGAAACTTTTCCCTATATTTATAATGTACATCGTACACATGAGTAGAATTGTACACGCACATGACTTAAAAATAAGCACTCATTTTGAGGGTTGCATGCTCAGAAATGGTCCTACTGGTAAACATGCAAATCGTCAAGAGTTGGTGACCGACCACTGGTCCATCTGACAGAACAGGGAGGACTCTCACAAATGTATTCTAGTTCTTACTGATAGCCTTCTGTGGTGTCAAGGAGTGTGGACATTTAGGGACGTTATTTCTGTGTGGATAAGGACATACTCTTATGATCAAACATGTTCGAGGGTGGGATTCATAGCACCCATGTTCCTAAACTGATCCAGACAGCATTTGGATGAAGGCAGGTAGAACTCTTAGGTGGGTGGAGTGAGTTCTAGGCTCTCTCTCGAAGGTCCCATCAGCAATAAGACGGTGAGGTTAGTGGTCCCCAGCCCCTGGGTCCTAGTGCAGGCAGCTGTGGACAGGCTGGGTGTGATGCCAGCCAAGAATCTGTACCTGTCAGGGGAGCTTCTGATGGGCATAATCCTTGGTGTTCAGGGGGCTAAGGGTTTTTTCTGCTCTGAATCCCTCAGGGGCCACACTTATGGTGAAACATGATCACTTTACCTAGTAAGCTCTCCACGAGGAAGTGGTTGCTGCAACCCAAGCCTTACACACAGGGTGGGGCCTGGGTGAAAGACAGTGGGAGACCTGCTGATACCATTACACAGAAGGAAAGTAGGAAGTGAGGAAGCTGTTCCATTTGGGGGTCCTGAGGGTGTACAGTGAAATATTTGCTCCATGGGTCCTTGGGTGATAGAAATCAGAGTCAGAGCTTGCAAAAGAAGGACAGCACCCTTCCTCAGACTGGCATTGACCGTGGCCATCCAAGTGCCACCTGGCTTCTCCAGTTGATGAGACATGTCCCTTTGAACAGGAGGTCAAGGATGGCCCAGGTATCCCAGCCCAGGTGGCACTTGGATGACCCAGGTATCTCAGCTCATTGTGTCCCCGTTTGGCCAAATAGGCTCTTCTCCGAGATTTGTTGTGAGATGCTGTGTCGAAACCACGTGGACACGAACTCAGAGTTTCGCATGAGAACTGCCCCGATCAGGGAGTTGCTTGCTCGTGGCACATTTATACTCACTTGTGGGTGGTCTGTCTAGTCCCAGATCACGTGCCACCTCTTGTTGATGTTTGCTTGGTGCAAACAGTCCAAATTTATCCAAAGTCTATGCTGACGGAGGCAGATTCTTGAAGGAAAAGCACCTCTTCAAACCAGTGCACAAACACCGTGAGCCGCCACCTCTGCGTCTGGCAGCCACACCCATCCAGACAACAGGCAGGGCACAGGGGGCCTTGGGGATCCTGGCTTGGGGCTCAGACCTGACTTTGAAGCCAGGCTCTGCTACTTATAAGGGCTGAGAATGGGAGGACATGTCTTTAAACGTTTGGAGCCACCATTTTATCGCTTGTAAAGTGGAGATGACAAAGTCTTCCCATGGGGTTACAATGCTAACTGCATTAATTGACATAGGCGGAACAGCTAGCATGGTGCCTGGTATCGAGTAGATGTTGTTTAAATTGTCACTCCTGCTCTCACTCCTCAGTCTAGTGCTCACAGCCCAAGCCACTTGACCTTGACCTTCTTCTACCTTAGTGTCTGTGCTCAGACCCTTGTCCCTCTTCCTCCTAATGTCTGCCATAAAAATTCTGCCCTGTGCAAAGTCCAGCGCCACTATAAAGTCCTCCCCCAACCATCCTGCACATCGCTATTACTGACCGTATTCAGCCCAGTGTTTAGGAATCCCCCTTCCCCTCTTCCTGGAGCACATCTTGTGTTTGGTTCTGTCATCCACTCACAAATGCAGTGCTATAAACACCAACATGTCATTACAGTCGGCTCTCCAGCCCGGACCCTACAAGGCAGACTGCCCTTCAGGTATTTACGAGCCAGTGAGAAGACAGGTACTCCACACACTGCGACCATGATGGGCAGCGTGTTCTGTAACAAAGATGGGTTTGGGGTGCTGTGAGGAGAAGCAGCTGGGGGGACCCAATCTGTGGGCAGAGTCAGAGAAGTTGCCCCGGGAGGAGACAGCATCAGAACCATCTCTTGTCACTCGTCACTTGATGGGTGGGAGCTGGCCACGCAGCAGACCTGGAAAGACAGGCATAGGTCAGAATGGCTCAGTGGGGTCAGGAGGGTCGAAGTGAGGGAAAGCGTACAGATGGGGAGGGCAGGAGGTAGAGGATGATAGCATTTGTCCTGGCCTGTCTTCGTTAGACTCGTGACGGTAGGGAAGTTCGTGGCCCAGACCGTGCTTTCT